AAGCAGGGCCGACAGCCGGCAGTCGCGAGCAAAGAGGGTGAAATGGCTCACGAGACATAAAAACGACTTGACACAGCTCAAGAGGCCGCTCGTGAGGACGCCAGCAATTCAAATAGCCACGAAAATCGATCGGTGCAATCGATTGACATATAGGCATTCACACTTATCTGACGCGAACAGGAATACAGACGTCACACTCTGACGATGGAAGCGAGCGAGCTTTTGAAACGTCAGCCAGAATACACTTCCGTCCTAGAAATCGCCTCTTCTTCTTCCCCTTCCGGGCATGATGTAAGGAATACTCATACTTATATTTATGCACAGGTATGTACAGTTGAGTGCGGGGAGTATGGGGGGGGGAGTGGGACGAAAGTTAGAAACCGATTAGTTCCAAATAGCTTCATTCGGTTTTGGAGGGCCGAAGGCAAGGGAACCGTCGAATAATTCGGACAATACGGGACATGATCGATCGACGCTAAAACGAAAGAGTGACACGTCAGGCAGGGGAAAGCGGACTTCCAGGCTCAGACGAACATACTCAGATATGTGAAGGGTAAGAGATCTAGCCAAATAATTTACACGTTCTGGAGGCTTTGCTGGTCCACCGTCTTTGCCATCTCCCCATATGGGGATGCTTGGGACAGCCACTTGAGACGGTCCTATGACGCCGACGGCAGGCTTCTTCAGGGCTGCAAAGACTAACAATACAAGGAGCTGACACCCGAAAATCTTCAACAGTCTAGCTATATCTCCATAAATACACAGTTATTGTTTTCAAGACCAATACATTCTTAAAAATCTGTATAAAAGAGGCCGCTTACTTGATTTCCTTTTATTAGAGTGCCTCGGCTGTCTAGCGCACGAAGCGTAACCGATACATAGATCAACCGTCATTGGCTCGTACAGCTCATTCGCAGGCTGCAGGCTCCAATGCGCCCGCTTCTTCCGGGCAGTTCGTAGCTTGCTCAGCTTTCTAAAAGCAGGAAGAAAATAAATTGAATAACTTAGCAGTCTTGTTTGGCGATGCTATTTGTTCTCAAACTAGCAACGTTCTGCAGAGAAATGGGTCATATTCAGCCAATACAGCCAGCAAGTAGGCTTCAACCCGGGACAAACCCTCCCTCATCACTTAGCTTAAATAAATAAGGCTCACATTATTTGGTATAATGTTGAGAAAACTACTACTTCTCGACCAAGACTCAAGAAGTGACCCTGCATCTACCTAGAACATTCTCATGACGACCATGTAAGATGTGGGCATCCCAAGTAATATAGTTTGAGGTTGAATACGTATTGTCGCTACCTGTTCTTCCAAGAAGGGACATGAATTCCTCGAAGCGATGCACTCGGACACATCATGCATCAACAGACATGTCGAGTTGGACTGTTCGTACAAAAGTCTCAAACAGAAATGGGCGAGACGCGAACCTATCCGAACAGAGGGAGACACACTGCAGCAGACTACGCCACTGCATTATTGATTTTCCTACGATTTCAAATGTTAACTGTTAGTTGTTCTTGCATTTACTTTTCCCTATGTCTGAAGACGAG